TTCCCTCCAGGGGAATCCAGCTACACCTCTAAGCAAATGAAGACTTCGGCTGAGTGCTGCTGGTCTTCCTGGGACCATCACTGGATCCCCTCCAAAACTGAGCCCACACCTTGTTCCCACTCCTTGCTGGGATCAGAACAATTCCTTATCTCTTCTTCTGTCCCTTTTAGGCAAGAATTGGTGGTAGCCTTCACTTAGGGGCAAATTCCTTGTCTCAAATAAAGGAGGAAAGAGAGAGAGAAAGAAGAAAACAATCCATACCAAATAATCATCTGGACGAATCCCAAAGAGTTCTCGGAAGTACCGAAAAGCCACTGGTGCATAGGTCTTGAACCTGAAGTCTGCATAATGGTGGGCTGGAGTGAGATTACTTCCTTCACTGCACGGGAGAGACATGACATGAGCAGGGCCTCTGTATTACCCCTCACAAGATATGTACAGTCATAGCAAGGCTACTGCATATTTAAGATGAATTCAGCTTTGCTAAAAGAAATCTTAGGAACAACAACAAACAAACCCATCTTTCTTCTGTGGCCCCACAACTGGAAAATAGGTTTTAAATTAGCTGCCAAAAATCTATTTCTAAAGAGTGCAAGGAACCACCAAGCAGAATATATTCACACAGAGAACGTAGCTTTTATGAGCTTTGCTTATTTACAGTTAAGGAGCTCCCAGTTTCTTCCATCTCAAACATGGTATAATTCCATGGAAGAAGGTCTAGATGGACAGGTAGAAAGAAAAGCATGGAGGAAGGCTAACAAACTCAAGCAGATAGTACTGCATCTTGCATTGTACTTCCTTTCAAGCCACTGTGCTGCAGAATCTAGCACTTCCCACTGTTCCGTTTGAATGTGATGGATGCATATTTAAAACATTCAGAGCATCCAACTCAGTGATCTAAAGACAGATGGAAGGAAGCTCTCTTGAAAAGAATCAGTGAGAGGAAAAGAAGTAACTCATAGAATCCCAGACTGATTTGTGTTGAAGGGACCTTAAAGCTCATCCAGTTCCAACCCCCCACCAGGGGCAGGGACACCTTCCACTAGAGCAGGTTGCTCATCTGTTTTGTTTCCCTGTCTCCATTACCTTGGGAAAAAAATGCTTTCCACCACGTAGAAGTCCTGCATCAGGACATCTCTCTCTGGCTTGGAGCTCAGATTGCCAACAGTATATCCAATCCCCAGCTGGATGGCCCCCTTCAGAGTGGATGAGGTGGTCTAGCACGAAAGAAAAGAGCAGTCAGTGAGTACTTCACAGCAGATTATCCCAATAACATCTCATGGCTGATGATACACTCATGTCTATGACTCCTCTGGGGTCATCCCAGGCACTACATACTGCTGAACAAATTCTACCAGCTGCAGAAGAGATGGGTTAAGGCTTCCAGGTTTGCCATCTGCGAGATTATGCAGTATAAAGGTGCTGCATAAAAAAATCTAACTCAGACTGGCAGCTATTGGGCCTCAACTTCTCAACCTGCCACTTAAACACAGCAGCTACTACCCCACTGCACAAAACCAAACCTTTTTGTAGGTGGTTTCACCAGAAGCATCAACGCTTCGATGACCAATCTTCTTCCCTTGGCCAGGCTGTCCCGGTAGCGATGGTCCCTGCAATGAGAGAGCATGGCTAAGGCCCAGACCAGAAGCTGAAGTTGCCAACAAGAACAAGGAGAGCAGCAGACCCACAACCACATTATCATGACTATGAAGGACAGAAAGACCTCTATGGCTGAAGCAAGCTTTAAACAAGGCTGTTTAAATTATCCATCCATCCCTCCAGAGAAGAACAGTTAGAACACCCAATCCCTCCATCTGACACCCCAAACCCAACTGGGCAGAGCCCTCAGCATTGATGCTGAGTTCAGGGAAGTTCTCCTTGCTTTCCAGCTGTCAAGATGCCCCCACTGCTTGACTGCAGTTTCTCAGTGATCTAAAATAGTGATGTATTAAATCAAACAGTGAGAGAAGTTTATTCTCCCTCTCACCACCCCAGGGGATTGTGGAGCCCAACAGACAGCTGAGATTCCACCAATGACATGTAGGGGTTGGTTACTTTAAAGAACAGCCAGGCTTTGGGCTGTTCCTTCAAGCAGCATGCAGAGAGATCCAAGGTCAATTTCCCAAGGGACAACATTATCTCAGTCTCTCTCTCGAGTGCTGCACAGACCATCCTCTCCGAAGTGATGTCTACAGCAGACAATGGATAATTTTGTTCAGACTACAGATGTTCTTCGTGTTTTAGCTCTGAACCAAGAGCTGGAGCTATTTCTGCTCCGAGTGCTTGGACTGCTCTTGGTAAAGGGCAGTGATTTCTCCTGCACAAATCTTCATTTCCTGCTCTGTTTGAAGCACTGAGCACAGCCAGGCTTGCTTCCGAGTGCTCCCCTCCTAGAAAAAGTGGGGCTATTTGTGCACTGAGCAATCAACTTCCACACAAGTTGTGCTTCCTACTAGGATTATTTCTGGGGAGGCGGAAAAGAATCAAGTGCCACATCCCTGGCACTTCCATGGGAGGATGTTCAGCCTCCCAGGTGAGTGATGAAGAGGACTATGTCAGAAAATCAGATCAAACAAGAATCAGTTGAACACGATGCCCTAAACCAAGAGCGTGGGCTTCAGGGAACAGCTTTGAGGCACAGATCCTCCCACGAGATTCCCTGCTGCCAACTGGGAAGAGCTTTGCACCAGAAGGTAACAGTGATTCAGCAACCTGCGACCTGGATTGGGGGTGAGGAAGATCAGTCCCTTGATATATTTATTCCCTTGTTTTATGGCTTCACAAGTTGTAGCCTCCTGGGCTCAGTCCCAGGAGCAGATGATACTCAACACAGAGCCCTGGACATGTCTGGTACATGGATCCTCCATTTATCACCTTCAGGTTCTGGTGTGGAAGAGGTGCCCTCAGCCAGTTACTATGAGACATCAGGGATGACATAGCTAAAACTGGCCACGTGGTGGGCATAATCCCTTCACAGTCCCTCTGTGGCTGTGGTGTTGCCAACATAGGGACTCCAATGACCTGCCACTAATTTTCTTTCTCCCCCATAATAGATAGCAAGTTTTCAGTCATCTTAAAGGTACTTTGAAATTCAGCTTTGCTCAAGAAAAGCCAGACAGGAGCACTTCCCAGAGCTCTGTGTTCTCATTTCTCAACACAGGATGTACAGGGCCAGCTTTACACATCTCACCTCGGTGACAGCTGCCCTCTTCGGTGCCAGACCTGAGGAGAGAAGGCAAAAGCATCAGTAAAAGTAGGGACACTGGGAAAAAGCCCAACAACCACCCCACCAAGAAACCAGCCTGATGCTTTGCTCTATCAAGGAAGCTGGAAAGCCTTTAAAGCAGCTGCTTTTGCTCAGTTTTCAGTTTCATCAGTGCAGGAGTCTGAAATGACAGGAGTGACCCAAACAATTCCACATCCAGAAGCAAAGATGTACGTATTTTCTTAGCAATAATGTTTCTTAGAGGCTTCAGGAGACACAGTTCTTGTAAATTCCTGCTTCAGGGCAAAAGGTCCAGACTGCACCAAAGAGTCGATTCCATAAGAAGCCCACAGAGACACTTAGGAAGCTGCTTTCCAGCCACTCAGAAGGCACTTGACAAACCACATTGATAATTGAATCTATTTATAGAACCCAACATCCAAATATACCGCAGAAATGAATGCATCATTTATCTCTACCACTGCCTTGGGGAGAAGCCACCATTACTCCATTACAGTGAATGGTGAGAAATTAGGGTTTTTAGATTAGATCTCTCATCAGAGATGGAAACAAGAGCCCAAACATTCCTCTAAGGTGAGGGCATCTTCCCATTTCCTAGCAGGAGTCCAAGTTTGCAAGAAGCTCCTTGTTTCTAGGTAACAGAGAGAACAGGTTCCTCTGCTGCCAGCCCCACGAGGTGTTTGTGACCCGCCGAGAGCCTTGCACATGGGACCACAAGTCCTCTGATTCAAGAGGGGTATCTACACAAGCTGGGGGTGGTGATGGTGGTACCTCTCCAGGGGGAGCAGATGTCCAGCCCTCCTTGCTGAAGAGCAGGAAAAGCCCCAGAGGATCAACGCCAGCTTGGACAGGACTTGGAGCAACCTGGTCCAGTGGAAAGTGTCCCTGCCACAGTTTCTCTGGGCACCCTGTGCCAGCGCCTCAGCACCCTCCCAGGGAAGACCTTCTGCCTCAGAGCTCAGCTCGATTTCCCCTCTGGCAGGTTAAAGCCATTCCCCTTGTCCTGTCCCTACAGGCCCTTGTCCAAAGCCCCTCTCCAGGTTTCTTGTAGCCCCTTTAGGCACTTTTTCCTAATGTCTCATCTAAATATCCCCTCTTTGAGCTTAAAGCCATTCCTCTTTGTCCTATCAGCAAATTAATCATCAGGTTTTGTGCTCAAAAATCAGTTCTTTGGCCTAAGACAATACAACTCTCTGAACATCCAACAAGAAGCCCCACAGTGGTGCAGGAGATACGGCACTAAGGGAGCATTTGGCTAATGAACATTCAGGGCATGAGCTGGAGCAACAACTCAAGACCACAGAGGAACCCAAAGGGGCAAATGCTGCTCCAAGCTGAACACTGGAACTCAGTGGGAGCACAACATGGCGCAGGGACACTGCGCTCTCCCTGCCTCGGCCGCTCTCCTGTCACACTAATCTCTGTTCTGCACTTTGTCACAATTCCAGAGCAGGAGATTAGCTTGAATTTTGTGATAATTACCACAAGCTGCTTTCATCCCCAGCTTCTAAGTGTCTGCTGCTGTACACGTACCAAGAGTGGAATCAACACCAATGCCTGTGCCATGGAAAGAGGTGATCTGGGCTTGAGGAGCTGTGGATCTCTGGGAGAAATAATGCTTCAGGTGGACAAGGGCATCACCAGCAAAACCTGCCCTCCCCCCCCAAAATCAGCTTTATAAAATTGACTTGTCTAGGCAGAAAATGAGAACAAATCTTGCACTGCCTCCTTGGCTGTGCTCATCTCAACCAAGCTGACAGATGGCCTTGAGAGACCTGATTTAACACCAGCCTTGGGGGTTATACAGCCACAGGAGACAGCACCCGGGTTTGTGGGGAACAGGAGCTCAGCCATGGGAAGGTTCAGCTCTTTACAAGCTGATTGAGTCGATCCTTAACCGATTTGGTGCTGCTTAGTGAGGGTGTATTCAGGAATGTGATGAGTGGCTCTGGAAGGGGAACCCTGGGATGAAACCCCATCTTTCCACCCTGCCTGGGTCTTGCAGCACACATCAGTTGACCTGCTGCCTTCAGCTCCTCTCCTCATCTGGGCACGGCTCTGCCCAAGGCTCATGCTCCTCTGCAGCCTCAGGTGAATGCTTTTGGTTGTGGCATTCAGCAACTCCCATCTCGGATTTAGCAACTGCTTTCTATGTCTTGCTATTCACAGCCACGGTGGCTTGGCCACCCCCACCACGACACTGGTACCCCACAGGACAGGGATGCATTTACTCCAGGAAAGCCTCTGTACAGTCAGCACCCAACACAGAAAAGGACTCAAGTTTTAGTCCTAAAATGCCAGGGCCTCCCCTGCGACTCCCAGGAGCAGCCAGGGATAAGCAATCCCATGTCACCCCCTGTTCCCCTCCTCTCACCTCCCACACCAGCTCCATGCCTCGTTTTGCCGTTTCAAGCACGCAGGAACCACCTCCACTTTGTGGAGGGAAGATGACATTTGCAAACTATGATCTGCTGCACCAACCCTACGTGCCACACGCCTTTCCCAGGCCCTTTGCCTTCTTTAGTTGAACATAAACTCGGGAAGGGAA